CCATGCATTTTGGTTTGAGAGCCTTGGGTGTGTGGGTCACTAGCATGCTTTACTTGGCTTATTCCCATAATTTGGCATCATTTGAGATCATATTTCAGTCCATGTAATGTGGTCTTACACTTGCAGTTGGCTCTCTTTCAATGCTTTGAAGTGTTGTAGTTTTGTGCCTCAAGAGTTGGTCATTGTGTTTGCCACCATGTTTAGACATTTGGGATGCCATCTAGGTGGGTTTTGGGGCTCATTCTAACATGCCACAACTCTTATTTTGTTGGTCTAATGCCCATGCTTGTCTTCTTTTAAGTGCGCTTGAAAGTTGGCTTTTATGCCTTAGTCTTAGGCCCATTGGTTTGCACGCTTGTCTTGCATGTTGGCACCATCATTTCAGTTTACTGTTTTGGGAGTGGGTTGAGGTCTGCCCTTTGTGTCTTAGGTCCACCATTGCATGATCATGTTGCATTGGTTTCATGTTTGCATTGTATCATACTTGCATGCTTGCATATTATTAGCTAGTTGCATTTCATGTCTTAGCTTACATGTTTGATTGCATTGCATTGCATCTTACATGCCTAGCATTGTACATTTGCATGTTTAGCTTGCATCACATTTGGCATGTTTTGCATCTTAGCCTCATGTTGCATCTTTGAGCCAAGTTTGTATACATACATTGCATTGTTTGGTTTGGGGTGTCAAACCAAACTTGAGGGGTGAGGAGTGTTCGTACTCCAAGTGACGAAACACATCTCAACCCTCGGTAGCCAATGCCCTTGACTTCAATATGATAGGGTGTTGGCACTCATCTCTTTTGTTGCATTCATTTACATTGATTGGCAAACTTGGCCTCTTAGGCCATCACGCATCGAAATGCGCAATTGATGACCCGAGGGTCGAGGGCCACACTCCCTTGAGTCCATAACATGATTGGGAGAGTGGCCATGCTCACATTTGCTTAAAAATTCCATGCCATACACTGCTTGCCCTCTGCTGCTGTCAACTGCAGGTTTCAGTAGGAAGAATTGGCCGGCCGGCAGTGTTGGGTGCCGACCGGCAAAACATGTTTGGCCGAGAGCGTAAGATTTGGCCGATAATCCCATTCCCATGGCCGGTGGCATTTTGTTCTGGCCGGTGACACTCCAGAGCACTCAAGGAGTGATTCAAAGCAGTTCTGGAAATTTATGTGATCCTCAGAGGGGCAAGGCAGTGTAAACAGAGGCAACAGTGCTTTGGCAGCGAGTTTCTGAGCGGGGCGAGTCAAGCATGCATCATTCGCGCATTCCGAGGCAGAGCTGCGGCAGTCTCTTTACGCTTCACATTTAATTTATTTTGTAATTAATTTGTTAATTAATTAAGGGTCTGTAATAATTAATTAGCTAGAATAGTTGATTCATTATTCGGACTGTATTATTCTTTTGGTCCCTCCGAGTGAGGGCGTATTTGTAATAAGTGTGCGTGAGTGTGTGCATGTCTTCCAATCCCACGTCTTTCTTCCCTTTTATTTGTCCGCTTATGATGTTTAGACTAGGGCATATTTAAAATTAGCATACCTTATGCTATGCATGCGTGCATCCATACATTTGTCTTACATGCACCGGGCTCGGCGCATCATACTAACTGCATTTGTATTTCAATTCCAAAGTTGAATACATGTTAGTTGTAGCATCACCACACGCCATCTTAGAATAGCCGAGCCTACTATAGTTGCATCTTGTATGTGTTGCATTAGCCATCTTAACATGAGTTAAGATCATGCATTGATTACTAACTAGTTTTTGTTTTGGCTCGGAGTACTATGTAAGCTTTCATGCTTTAGCATCCTTGCATGAGTGTGAGTGCATCACCACACGCCATCTTAGAATAGCCGAGCCTACTGTAGTTGCATCTTGTATGTGTTGCATTAGCCATCTTAACATGAGTTAAGAGCATGCATTGAATACTAACTAGCTTTTGTTTTGGCTCGGAGTACTAGGTAAGCTTTCATGCTTTAGCATCCTTGCATGAGTGTGAGTGTTGCCATGACAACATGCTTACTATGTGGCTAGATGCTTATGTGATATAAACTGCTTGAGTGCTTGTGGGTGAAGGTTGGATTGTTTAAGTTGGGACAACTCGTTGAAATCCGTGCTTTAGCCTACTTGCGAGTAGTAAATTTCAAATTGTTTTTCAAACAAACGGATATGCAATGCTTCGTTCCAAATTAGGCGATCTAGTCTACATTTTTGTGTTGTGCGCATCACATAGTAATTCTAGCTAATTAACTGGAATAAGAACACATAACGTTTTCAAAATCGGATATCATGGTTAGTAGAGGCCGATCTTCGGATAGGGCGAGAGGGGGTGCTCATAGCTGACCTTCCCCAATCGTACCCAAGTTCCCGAGCCGAGGCAACTTTGGTGATGACGGACACGTGGCCTTTGGCACCGAGTCAGGGTTTCCTAAATTCCCCCATAAAAAATATTTAGGTGGCGACTCTGTATCTGGCAAAGCAGTCCACGTTTGACACTTCTTTTCAAAAATCTGTTTCTCAAAACGATTTGTCGGATTTGGACTCTTTGGTTTAGATTAAGAACCGTAACAATTCGAGAGTCCGAACTGTAGTGAGCCCAATACGAATAGAACGGGACTCACCCTCCCGGGGCGTTCGGGGACGTCTACAACCCCACAACAGATGAACGAACCCAGAAACTGTTTTACTTCAATTGAACAGTGTTTGCATGGAAGAAGCCACAGAGTGTGAATCAAAGATACACAAAAGCAGTTGATAAATCACATGGGGATATCCGCCCATGAATCTATGATAATTGAAAGTGAGAGAGGTTTGGGAAAAAAAGAAAATTACATTTCTCTTGGTTCATATAACCTGCTTGGATTAGCAAAAGATGAGAGAAATGGAATGAATTGGGGAAAAAATTGAAACAAACTCATTTCTCTTATAATTTTTATTTTGAATCTCTCCAAAAGTGAATAAATTGGGAAAGGAAAATAAAAAATCAACAGAACAACTATTTTTTCATTTTTTCATAATATCAAAATTGCCCCTTTAAATACAGATAGAAGAAATAAAAAACAAACACCTAAAAATGTTATTTTGATACTATAAACCAAATAAGATAGGCGAGAAATCTTTCTCTTCTATTTCATTTCTATTTATCCAAACAAAAGGCCAAAGAGAGAGAAAACATAAACTTTTCTTTTACACTCACATACAAAGTGTAAAACAGAGTAGAAACCAACAGAGCTAAATCTAGGAATCAACCACTATGTCTAAAAATATAGATAGAAGAAATAAAAAAAAAACACATAAAAATGTTATTTTGATAATATAAACCAAATAAGATAGGCGAGAAATCTTTCTCTTCTATTTCATTTCTATTTATCCAAACAAAAGGCCAAAGAGAGAGAAAACATAAACTTTTCTTTTCCACTCACATACAAAGTGTAATATAGAGTAGAAACCAGCAGAGTAGAAACCAACAAAAAAAAGCATAGTTTTTGGATATAGAAATGCTTACCAAATTAAAAAGGGAAGATCACATACACACTGCAACTGCAAGAAACCGTGCCTATGTATACCATCCAAAACAAAACTACATCATTATGTTCTGGAGAGGTTGATAATGTGGGTGGTTGTTGTTGTTGTTGCGGCGGCAGTGGTGGTGGAGGTGTGCTGGTGTTGGGGAGAGGAAGCGAGGCAGAGGAACATTGCAGAGATCATGATATTCACAGAAGATGAGCAAGCTCCTTTGATATATGTTACTGTTTGAAATTGCCAAAAGAGAAGAGAAGAGAACTTACAAAGGAAGATGCAAAATGCAATTGAAGGAAGAAGGTGTAACTGCTTCAAACGTGAACTTTGAGAACAGAACTTTCAGAAGACAACTTACCAAGGAAGATGCAAAATGCAATTGAAGGAAGATGGTGTAACTGCTTCAAACGTGGAGAGTGGGAAGTGGGAGGTGGAATTAGTGTTTGAATTTATCATTTTAACCCTAATTAAAATTGATTTAAGTGTAAGAAGTTAAGGTCATTTTAGGGAGAATTGAGAAAAGTTTTTTAGGAATGGCTTCATGACACCAAAGTTCTTGTTCTCTTTTAATAATAGAATAGATAGATAGATTATTTAAAAAAAAATTTTATTATGCATCACAAATTTATTAAAAAAATAAATAGAGAATACTTACAATTTTGATATAAACAAAATAAAATAATAATTCTTAAAAAAAGTACTCTTTTTAGGGTTTGAATTTAGTGTTTGAATTGAATTTATCATTCTTAAAATAATAAAATTGTTTTAGGGTTTGAATTGAATTTATCAATTTTAATTAGGGTTTGAATTCTTAAAATAATAATTTTTAACCCTAATTAAAATTAATTTAAGTGTAAGAAGTTAAGGTCATTTTAGGGAGAATTGAGAAAAGTTTTTTAGGAATGGCTTCATGACACCAAAGTTCTTGTTTTCTTTTAATAATAGAATAGATAGATAGATTATTTAAAAAAAAATTATTATGCATCACAAATTTATTAAAAAAATAAATAGAGAATACTTACAATTTTGATATAAACAAAATAAAATAATAATTCTTAAAAAAAGTACTCTTTTTAAAAACTAGCGACCGGGCACACGCGATGCATGTGCAAACTCATTTGGAAACTCAATTGATAAAATTTTTAATACATCCTCATTCAATTTGTTTATTTTTTTTTTGATTTATATATTCAATTGCATAATCTTTTTTTTTCTGAATTTAATATGATATATATACACACATTCTCATATACTTCTACATTATCTCAAATAAAATAAAAATATACTCACAATGATAATATATTTATAAAAAATCTATACAATTATTTTTAATGTTTCTAATCACTATCAATTATTTTACATTTCATTACAAAGCAACCTAAATAGCATATCAAATTGTTCAGTAGTATCGTATCAAATTCAATAAACATCAAAACAGTTATACCTCATCACGACTTCTGGGTCAAAACAAAACCTCCCATGGATACAGCTCTAAAACGCCATGAACACCTTCACAACTCTCCATCACCAACTCGCCATGAAACCCTAGCCAATGTTGATAACAATGGCGAAGACAGAATCAGCAATTTGCCAGAATCGATTCTCTGTCACATCCTCTCCAAACTGCCCACCAAATTCGCCGCCAGCACAACCATCTTATCCACCAAATGGAACAACCTCTTTGCTTCAATCCCCAATCCCACCATCGACATCGACGATTCTCTGCTCTTGAATCCCCACGACAACACCACCAATTCCAATTTCATCAATTTCATGAACCACTTGTTCACAGTCACTCTCATGGACGTCCCAACTATTCACAAACTTCATCTCCAGTGTCATCACGACTATGGTTATTCCAACATTGGTGAATGGGTATCTATTGCTTTAAATCGAAATGTAACTGGGCTTTCGTTGTTCTTCAATGTGAAGAGCACGGGTGTGTCAATTCCTGGTCTTTTTGACTCCACAACGCTTGTGGATTTGTTACTGAGCCAGCACTATGGTTTGAATGTTACAGATTCAGTTTTTTTTTGCCGAAACTTAAGCACCTTTATTTGGATTATGTTGGATTTGTCGATGGAGAATCGTTCGAGAGGGTTGTTGATGAATGCCCTGTTCTTGAAGAATTGTCTTTGGATGGTGTTGAATTTGAGGAGATTGAACTTCTTCGTATCTCTTCGAGTACGATTAGGTTTTTATTGGTGCACAATTGCTACCAATCTCTCCTTCACCAGATCTAATCTCTCTCTCTCTACCGAGGTTTCAATCGTTCAAAATAAAATTCGAAGATGTTGAAACTAATTTAGAACTGCTGTGCAGTTTGGAAACGTAGGGTGATGGAATTAATTGGTTTGAATTTATCAGGTTACCCTTAACTATATATTAATATTAGTGTAAAAATAATATAATTGTTTAAGAAGTTATGGCCATTTTGGAAAAAATGGAAAAAAAATTCTGAGAGTGGCTTCAGGACACCAAAGTTCCTGTTGACTTTTAATTAATAGTATAGATTATAAATCCAAGATTCTTAGAATATTTATAGTCTGATAGATTTGGTATACACAGAAATATAAACAATTACATTGAATTTTTTTTATATAAACGAAGTAAAATAATAGTCAAATTTTTTCCTCCGGAACTTGATAATATAATGAAACTTTTCATCTTCTTTTATTTTTTAATGAAGAAAAAAAAGTATAATTAAATTCGTACACACAAAATAGAAAAATATAAACCTAAGACTGCCAAAACACTTACAATCAAAAAAATTTATACAAAAAAAAAAAAAAATAACCATAGCAAAACCCAAAATCCAAAAAAAAGCTATCTAAAAAAAAAAAAAAGCCTTAAAAGCGTTGGACACCAAAAAAAGGCTACGCCAACAAACAAATCAATTTTTAAAAAATAGAATTTATATATAAAAAAAACAAACAAAAGCTTGAAAAGGTGAGATATGAACAAAAAAAATTGAATATAATTTTTTTATAAAAAATGAATATAAAAACATAAAAATACATAAAATAGGAAAATACAAACTCGACTCTTATAACACTTAAAGATATATTTTATTTTTATTTTACCTAATTTTTTTTTTCAAATCTCTTCCCAAATCTTCCAATCCAAACACAGTAATAGCTACAATTCTATTACTTGAGTCTTTGCCTTGATCAGCTATTATGAAACATTTTATACATGAGTACAAATATTTTTAATATTATATTTTATACTAATTGATGATTAACATTCATAATGGTTGATGATTAAATTGAGGTCTTAAAATAAAGTAAATTATTCACACCATTGTCTGCCAATGGAAGCTTGCAAAAATACCAACGAACATCACCGCCATCAAACGGACTTGTAGTTTGCGTGAGATACTTGGGGCGACCCTCACATTGCTCGATCTCATCCAGCAATCTCCGTATGTTTGACGGAGTGTTCTTCAACATATAAGAGGAAGTCTCTTCATTCTTCCTATGAGAATCAGTAGCGTCAGGAACAGATAACCACCCATGATCCCCTTGCCCACGTTTTCTTCTACTTTCACCCATTTTCTAAATCTGTTGTTGACACTCCATTCAACCATTCATTTCTAAAGCAAATCAAATAGTATGGTATGGTATAGTATGGAGGAGGACTGATTTGATTCAATTAAATTATGATCTTGGAAATATGATCTTGCATAGGAATTTTCACATGAATGAATTGTTGCACGCCCATTCAATCGTGCTATACGGCATTGTTGGGAAAGGAAGCTTCATCATAGATATCTCAACTCCAGAATCTTACATATATTACACCAAAGCAACCGTAAAAATAGATTTCATCTGGGTGAAGATAATCAGAAGTGAATGAGGAAGATGAAGGAGAACCCATTTGCTTCTTCTCGTCCATATTTCTCTATCTTTATATCTCTCTTTCTCTCTCTCTGAAACTCTCTTCGTATACCCACAAATGAGAGTAATGGAAGAGAGAGAGTCAAATATATAGAACAACCACCGTCAAAGAATACCCAGAAGGAAGGAAACGGCTGACAAATTTTGCAGAGAAACAAACAGAAAGTGCAGACGAAAACAAATGAAGAAGAAATGGAGAGAGAGATTGCTGATGTGTTTGTGTTTTTGTGTGTGAGAGAGAGAGGGAAATGAAAACCATTTCTCACCAATTTGAGTATTGGGTAGTTAATTAATTAAGGAAGAAAGTGAAAAACGTGGGATGTGTTTTTTTTTTTTTTTTTTTTCAAATTACTTAAATTCCATGTGGCAACATATGGTAGAGGCTTCAATAAACCAAATTCAAGCCTCCCTTAATATAATAGTATAGATATAAAGGAATATTTTGGTTATTTTGTTTAAATTTGTTTTTTAGACAATGTATTTTAGAGTTTGAATTTTTTATCAGACAAAATTTAAATTTAAATTTATAACCGAGTGTGCTATTATTAATTAGGATATTTGGCTTAATATTTGTGTAGTAATGTTATATTTTTATAATATCTTCCTCCATATTATATAATAGTCATCGAAAAATTGATATGTGGCATTCATTCATTCATTCATTCATTCACCAATTACAAAATTCATTATGAATAAACAATCATCAGTCAATTCCCTCCCAAATTCATAAATTCCAGTTTGAATTTCGTGATTGAATGAGATTTACAAATCCATATAATATAAGAGAATGGATGCTTTGGAGTTTTCACTCCAATCCTGGTTACAACTCATTGTCACCAGGATTGCCATTTGGTTGAAAGCTACGTCCACGAAGCTCCACTTTTCGATTAATGATTTTCTGTACAACATCTCAGCTATTAGGCATTGCATCAACGAAGGTTAAGTAAGGGTGCTGATCTGGTTTGGTTTGAATATGCTTTCTGCTGCTGCTTAATGATCAATGCTCTGGCTTTGTTCTGCTTTGTTCTGTTTTGATCTGTTTGGGGGTGCTTGATCTGGTGATCGGATCTACTTTGGATGGGTGTATACCAACTTCGGTTAGGGGTGTGATTGATCTGTTGATTCTGTTTTGTTGTGTATGTAGCAGCTTTGGATGGGTGTATACCAACTTCAATTGAACTATCTCATCAGTTTTGCCACTGTTTTGGAGTTTTGGGGTGTCTGCTGCAAAGGAATGGATGCATTGGAGTTTTGCCACTGCTGTGTGTTTGCTGAGTTTTGCCACTGTTTGATGTTTGCTGGGGTGCCCGTATATGCTGAGTTTGTGCCACTCCTGGTTCTTTAATCTTCATTAGGCGTTGCTCTAAGTTGTGTGCCTGCTGATTCTTTTTTGTTTGTCTTTGCTTCTGTTTGTTTTTCTCATTTTGTTGGTTTCTCACCAACCGGAGCTTTGAGCTTTTTCTAGCTTTGAGCTCCTCTTTATTGATGTCTCTCTCTTTTTTGTTAGATCCCATCAATAAAGATTTATTTTGCTAATTCAAAAAAAAAATATAATATAAGAGAAATGTTAGGGATCATGAAATTTTTTTCATAAAAATGATCATGAAAGATTTATGACTCTTAGATTGCCTTGATTAGTGTGTGGTGCTTTATTCTAAGTATAATTCAAAAGTCATAAATATTTCATGATCATTTTTATGAAAGACTTTTCATGATACCTAGCATTACTGATAATATAATATCTGTTGACAACATAAATATATGGGTACTAATCTATAATACAATAGTTATTTATGGATGTATAAAGAGAAACTACAAAGGCTTTGACATCACACATTGCTTTACAATTTTTCAGAATCCGATTCCCACCTCCTCAATTTCCCAAACTTCTGCTGATAATGCTTCCTTATTTCATCAATCATGCCTTTCCCACGTGAATTTCTCTTTCTTGTTTTTCTAAATGAGTGTTTTTTTCATTATATATATTTTTTAATCACTAAAAGAAAAATGTATTAATGAAACAAGAAAAAGTACATTATCTATTATCAATAGCTGTTAATGGGAATTACATGTTTTTTTGCCGATCAAAAAAAAAAGAAAAAGGGAATTACATGTTTTTTTCAATATTTTGTATGTATCATTGGATACATGACAAGATATTACATATTATTATTAATTTATTAATAATTATTTTCAAATAAAAAAGCAAATCCCGCCCAGGACCCGAATACGCCATGGGTCTAGACCTAATTTTCAAGCTTGTGGGCTGGGACAGCCCGAATTTTTATAGGAGCCCATTCGACCCGACATGGGTCGGCTTGAGCCTGGGTCAGAGTGGGCCAGGCGAGCCAAATTTACACTCCCTTTTAGGTGTATTGTTAGTACAGTGTTGGAGCAATTTGTGTGTAATACATTTTTTTATTTGATCGGCGAAAATCAATTGTTAGATTAGTACCTATGAAAATTAGTCTCCCCACCCCACCTTTTGCAAAGCACCAAGTATTTACTTTCTTAATTCAATTCTCCTAAAAAGAGTTGAATCCCTAACCTCCTCGGACTAAGCCATTAACACTGATGCACTAATTTAATTACCATCATTATATCTATAAAGATGGTACTAACTTAAATGTCAGAGTGTCCACTTGGTATTGATAATGCCTTATTTTACAGACAGTAATGGTAGAGATCATGAAAAAAATATCATGAAATGTATCATGAAAATTTTTCATCTATTGATTAGTGTGTGGTGTTTTATTGTATGTGTAATCCGAAGATGAAGAATTTTTCATGATCATCTTCATGACAATTTTTTCATAATCCCTAACATTGCTCTTTTACATATCCATAATGCGTTAGTCATCTCTTAATTGATATCTTTTATCATGAGAATGCCTTCCTTGTTTCATGAATCATTGCCTTTCCCTTGTGAATTGTCTGGTTGTCTTATTGCTTTTTGGGTTTTTCAAATTCCATGCTTAGCTGGAACATACATCAGCTAATTAATATTGTTGTCACACACCACCGAACAACTCATTATGCCATCACACATTTTGTTGTTTTATATGTCAGACTAAATGCAAAATTATGATGAGTTATTTTCTGTCCTCATTGTGGATTATGAATGGCGACATTATTGTTTACGGGGCAAAATAAATTTTCCACTGCTAATGTCTAACCTAAATATATATATTCTATTTATCCTGGTAAGACTGTATTTAGTTTTTGCATTTGAATGAAAATGTATAAAGATAAAAAATTAGCTTCCTGGCAAGGATGTTTCTATAAAAGTATGCGGGTGCAGTTGCTGAGGATTTCTCGATCATAGAAGCCAAAATAAACCTGTAACAGACAAGCCAGAGAGAAGGGGCTGAGAAATAAGGGTCACAACATGTCAAGAGATTTAGAGGCCAAGAACATATATGCCACTGCTATCTAGCCATTGATTTGTCTTCAGCATTCCCATATTAGATCATTACACCACATATATATATATATATATATATATAAAACATAAAACATAATGGGATGGTAGTGAAAGGTTGTTGATTTTAATTACTTTCTTCTGTTCTCTACTTCACTGTTTTTTCTGATGGTTGAGGAGAGGCCGCGCAATTACCGGTTGACGGTGATGCTGTGCGCTGGTTTCTGTGACCTTTTGCCAGCTTCTTGCCCTCAGCTTTCGCTCCCGGTTGTCGTACCTTCACTCCTCTTATCAACTGTTTGGTTCACTCATTCAAGTTTCTTATAAGAAAATCTATCTATATATGAAGTTATGCACATATAAGAAATACAAACTCAAGTGAAAAACAGAATGTAGACATACATATTTGCCACACTTGACGTCCGAGTATATCACTATGAAATCTCCCTCTTGGAGTCCATTTGCTCGAACAAAGTCACCTGAAACAAATCCAATCTAGTGGATGTATGAACATTTTCAAAATCTTGAAGATCTCAACATTTGATTACTAGTAAACCTAGTTACCTAAATATGTGTCCAAAATTCAGAATTGGAATGTGCAGTTGAAATTGAATCGGTATTTTGTGGAATGACGAATCTACACTACATATGAATATGTTTTGGGTAAAAAAATTCCTGGATACGTAGTATTACCGTTTGATAGCTTACTGACCTGTGTTTTCCAGGAGGTACATCCTGCTTTTGTTGTTGGGCCAAAATCTGAGACTCCACAAAGATTAAAAGAACGGTTATTTGCGTGTTTTGATTAGCAATTGTATCTATGATTAACAGAACATAAATCAATGGTTTTTAAAGATTTTAAAGTTTTGATATATATACATACCTGTAGCGCAAGTTCCAGATGCGAGAGGTACCAATGTCTTCCATGGTAATTGTAATTCCATCCCTTGCATCCAGTTGCGGGAGATGGGTTTCTGCCTCTTTCTGATCAAATATGTCCATTACCAATCATGTTAATATCAAATTTAAAAATAAAAAAAAAAATCATCGTGAAATAATATCTATAACATAGAAAGGTTGAGAGAGTACTTTTGGCAACACAATTCTTCCCAGATTACCCACATCACTTTGTTTCAACACTTTTTGCAGCAAAAATTTCAAGTTCTTCTCCGACTTCCACCCCTATGCAAATTCAACACCCACAAGAAATATATCATTAGCTTCCTCAACTCTACAACATTACGTATCGTCAGCATAAAAACAATCAATAAATCTAACGACACAAAACCGATCACAGAACCAACTACATAAAACAATCTTAACCATACATATCAGATGGTGGGGCCTAAAAAAACCGATACAGTTTCACTTATTGAAAAACAGTCTATGGTTATATGCTCAAAATTTCCAGAACCCACCTGTTGTCGCCTGTCCGATGAAACCGGCTTTTGCTGATAGTTTTGCGGTTGTATGGGCAGTCGATCCGCGGCGGTACGTGGTTGCGATGCATTATGGGCAGCAATTACGGGCCCCGTTGAAGCAGCAGGGACAGCAACAGGAGGCCAGTATATCCAGCTGGCAGTGTTGGCTTGAGCTGTGTTTGTGCAATTTTCACTGCCAGGCCTTGCTTCTTGTTGTTCGGCATTCTGATTCTGATGTTGGTTTTGATGGTTATGGTGATGATGCCGATGGTGAGAGAGAAACCGTCTCTGCCGCGCCATCCTCTTCTTTCGAGCTTCTTTAGTCGCCGAAGAACCCAACCTCGCTAACTTCTCACCACCATTCCCATTCCCATTCCCATTCCCCTGATGATAATATTGATATGGGTATTGTTGATTCCCATACCCAGCAAATGCTTGGGGAAAAGGCGAACCAGTAGCGGTATTATTATTGCTGTTATTCTCCGGAAATGGGCTGTATTGGGACGCCATTCCATATTGTGCCGAAGACCATGTTTGAGCCGAATCAATTATATGATACTCTGTTGATGGTGGATGATGATAGTTTGGATGACCATTAATGTTCTGGTTCAGATGTGGAGGAACAAGACCACCACCAGAGTACGGATCACCCACGTACCCACCCATCGGTGGAAATGCCGTCGGAGCCACCATGACAGCGGTCGACTGGTCGTAATGCGGTGGTGGAGGTAGCGGTAGCGGTGGTGGCATCCATGAAGCAAGGGAGAAACAGGTGCTAGTATTATCAGGAGGAGGAATGGGATTGCAAGCGAGATTATTAGGGTTAGGGTTTTGAAAATGTTCTTGGTATTGGCAAGGGAGTTCAGAGGCTGGTTGTGGTTGCTTCTTCTGGAGTTGGTACTGCTCGACCCATTCGAGAATGAGTTTCAACAACTGCTTTTTACCTTCTTTTGTGCTTCCCAAACGCTTCGAAGCACAATCAACCGTGGCTCGCCTGAGCTTGATACTCCTCATATCTTCAGCAGATATGTACTCTTTGTTTGATTTAAGCCACTCAAAGAACACAATCCCTAGCTCATCCAATGGCCTCTGTTCTTGACTCTGTACCATGTACTGCCCATCATTTTCCTCCTCATTCTGCTGCTGATGATGTTGCTGATCTTCTCGTTGTATCTGTGGTTTTTGATCATGCGTGAATTCTTGTGGGTTTTCATTTTCGAAAATCGATGATGGGTCCCAAATTTCATTCGAATCCATCAGATCCATGTACCCAAAAGTCTCCATCACGTCCATGCAATCGATATCACCAGATGGCGGCGGAGGATGAAAGACCTCCATGGAGGCTGGTGGTGGAGCATCCACCAGATCATCATCATGGTGGTTATTGTTCTGATTCTTTTTGTCAGTATCTTCCTCTGCGTCAGACCTCAATACAGCCCACGAAGCCGCAGAAGACGAGGATGACGCGGACGGAGACGATGAATTCGATGCAATTGCCTTCGCAGGCGCCGGAGTCGACGAAGACGACGACGATGACGACATGCAAGGAAAATCAGAGAGGGTAGGGAAGTCATTGTAGAAAATTGAAGCTTCATTCACATCAAGAAGATCACCTCTGTGTCTTTCAAGCCACATTTCTCTATCACAAACACCCATCATCTCTTCATCCTCCTCCATGGCATCAAAACCACTGGGATTTGGCATATCTTCAACACCCACGATGTTTTCTACCCCATCCCCATCTCTTGCATCTCTTGCATTCCTTGCATGTTGATTTTTTCCCCTCTCCATAGAGATAGTTTTTAGAGAGAGAAAGAGGAGGGGGGCTCTGTGTACAGATATGGGCAAATTTTGAGTGTTGTTTGTGATTAAGGAAGCAATTATAAAGGACCCGCCCGTATGCCTGTCAAATCCTCAACAGGGAAGAAAAGCAACATAAAGCATCTGGAGGAGGTGGGTGTATCAACAAGAAACATTTTTTATGATATGCTTCTATTTAACCATCAAAGAAAGCGATTCCTCTACGGTAATTAGTCTACTTTTTTAGACATACATTATACATATCACTATCATCACACAATATGGTACAGAACTATTTAAATGTTAATATTAAAAAAATCTACAAGAAGGATTTACATAATCTTCACCGAAAAGCCGAAGAGAGAGTGATCAATAGTCTCGAACTCAGCAAATCGTAAACCAGTCTCTCACCACCACCACCATCACCACCACAACCTCCTTTAAATCGTCTGAAACTCAACAACTGTTCTGGGAGGTTCTGGGTGGTTTCACTTAAATTTTTGTTTGTTGAGATAAGTTCAAATCGGTTTTTTTTTGGTGTTTTTTTATTAAATAAGAGAGAGAAACAGATAGGAGAGAGAGAGAGTGGTTTGGATACTTAGATCTTGTTTGTTTGGAGTTATAGAGAAGGGATTGAGATGGATAGTGAAGTGGAATTACTATATGGGGTGTTTGTTTTGAGAGATGGGGAGGGGACTCCTAATCCTTTGATATTAGTAAAGGCCTTGGAAGGGAGATTGAGAATGAAGAGGTAGAGATAGTATTAGAAAAATACTGAGGGGATTAGAAATTTTTTTATTTTTTATATATTGGGAATTTTTTTTAAAATATTAATGTTTAATTTTTTATATTTTTTTATTTGTTTTATTATTTTATATAAAAATAATTTAATAACGTTTTCAATATCAATTTCTTCACTTTTAATGCCCTCTATCCTATTTCTGAAACAAAATAACCTTAAGAGAGAGAGAGAAACTAAACAGTCATGGAGCAAAACCTCGTGCGCTGCTTTCTCTCAGGCTCACTCCGGATTGTACGCTAGTGGCCATACGTTCCAACCTGAATGGTGCTGCGAGCGGTGCCAACCAGCCTTTGTAGAGAGAGAAAGTGTGTGACCTCGCTTAGTGTAATGTAATATATGTAATGCGTGTAATGTAGATAAGTAACATAAAACTAAATAATAAAAAAATTAATATTACAATATATATATGTCTAAATAAGAAGAGTATTTTAATAAAATTTAAGATTTTATATTCAAATCTCTTTGTCTTTAAATAATATTTTTTTATTTTAGAATAAAAATTCATCATTTGTTATGTGAGAGATAGAAAAATCACTATACTAATAAACATCAAGTCATGTGCTTGCATACTTCTTTTTTTTTTTTTTTTTTTTTTTTTTTTTTTTTTTTTTTTTGGTCTCTATCTCTCTCTAAAAGTATCTACATTGCTACTACAGAGATATAGAGATAGATATGGAGATATAGTTAGAGAGAGAGATTGGACCGACTCGTTCTTTGTTCACACGGTTTGTCTGGATTCGTGGGTGAAACGGCGGGGGGGTCGTTGCTGGCTGCTACGTGTACACACTCTTCTGACGCAATGCCACTCCACGAGAAGTTATTCTCTCTGTGTATAAACACCCTACACAACTTTCGCTTGCATTTTATTGGTCAATTTGTTTTTTCTTTTGAATACATGTCAAGGTAGAGTGAGGATCCTCTCCTTGCAGCTTCCGTGCTTGCGTCCGTCCTTGCAGGCATTCGGGTCTATTTTTAGGCCCAATTTTGATAATCTGAATCGTTCATATTTTATGATTTATTCAGTATATCATACCTGTAAAAAATCAAATTGATCGGATATCAGAAAGCATATGTTCGGAAAACTGTTTATTAAATTCTTTAAAAAATAGTGTTTAGTTCAATTTTTCAAACACATACTTTCTGATATCCGATCAACTTGATTTTTTACAGGTATGATATACTGAATAAATCATAAAATATAAACGGTTCGGATTATCAAAATTGGGCCTAAAAGTAGACCCGAAAGCCTGCAAGGACGGACGCAAGCACAAGCTTGCAAGGAGAGGCTCCTGACTCGTCAAGGTACCCGCTGATTGGACGGTCGTCCAACCAAATAATCAGCTTAGGTGCTGAGTTGTTGGAAATTTGTATGCATATATTTTTTTAAAGATTGTTTGGTTTTCATATTGGATTAAATAATCATAAAAGAATAAAAAAAAATTAAAAAATTACAAAAAGTCAAAAATCATAAAAGGTTAAAAAAAATTTTACCATTCCAAAGCTTAAAAGCTAAAAAAGCCAATCAAGAATATCAAATGAACAAAAAAATCTTAAACTAAAGGTTTTTTTTTTAGGGTCCCTGGTATTAAAACTTTATATATAAAGGACATCTAATATTTTCATAATGTCTAAGGTCCCTTAATTTGATCCAGAAAATTCTGCTCTAGAGAAATTTTGTCCGAAAAAATTCTCTCCAACCCAGAGAAATTCTAAAAATCTTATAAAAGTGTTTGTTATGACATGCTACTTTTATATAATTCAAAGTTTAATCTTTCGTGAGTTCATAACTGTACAAAATCATGAATAGATTTTATCCTTTTAATGCTTTTGTACCGATTTGAAGAAATTTGATTTCCACTAATTGTTTTAATTCCTACAGCAAGTGAGGGTGGGGTCATTTTTGTTAGTGGAGTACATGAAGACGTAGAACATGAGAATCTACTGAACATATTTTTTAAATTTATTCATTTTTTGAGTATCTTTTTTTGAATTTCTCGGGTGTTTGTGATTTTCTCTGGGAATTTATCAGTTGACTATCTAGGAAGTCACAACATTTACTTTTCAAATTCCCCTTCTTCACTCAAACCCAGAGAAAATTCAAATTTCTCAGGGTTCATTTTGACAATTTGAGATTTTCAGAAAATTTGAGGCACATGTGAAAATTTGTTTTTACCAGACTTAATTAAGTTGTTTTTATCATTAGAAAAATGCTCATATGATGCACATTGAGTAGAAAGAGGCGATCAAAGTAGGAATTACCCCCTATGCTCTTGCAAATGGTGAACACAGTCGAAGTGCCAATCTTTATCCGGGTTTATCGACACTAATACTGATCTAATTAAACGTCTAGGCTTCCATATTTCACGATAGAAGCTGGTGGAATTCTAGATAGATAGCTTATTTACCAATCAATTCTAAAATTCTACAGTTAACATTATGGTAATCTATACTATATATTATAATGATGTTGTAGTAGAGAGAGAGAGAGAGAAGTGACCTTAGTCTGAAAATCAACGTGATCGGAAGCGGCCTTGTAGAGAGTGTCGACAATGTGTTTGAAAGAAGGCTTGAGAGAAAGAGATTGGTCTACCGACACCCCGTTGGCGAAGGACAACCTTGGACCACATGTGGGTCCACCATCGGCGAAGACGAGGGAGACGAGCTGCGAAGAGAGAGAGTTGAGTTCGTCAGAGGATTTGGAGTTGAGGAAGGAGAGCAACTAGTCAAGGGTTGGGGATTTGGAGCCAGCGGTGATCAAGCTCAGGACAACGTGGATGGAGAGGGGAGAGAAGACGAGGTTCGAGTCAAAAATGGGTTTTGAACTTGTAGTTGAGATCGATGAAAGAAAGAGAGAGAGAGAGAGAGAGAGAAGAGTAACAGAAGAAAGATGTCAAATTTATCTGTGAAGGATCTTAGACATCAAACAATAATATTGTGGATCTCTTTCATTATCAAAAATGAGAGAGAGACTTTAGACTAATTTTCCCTAAACTAAAAAAGTCATTGCTAAACGAAGGCTTAGTTTGATCAAAAATAAAAATAAAAATGGAAGGCTAATCTTTTTTGGAATGTGAGTTTATTTTTTTGGCTTTTTTTAGTTTTGGATTAAAAAGTTTTATTTGTGATAGGCTTTTTAATTTTTTAAATTTTTATGAGAAAAAAAAATTAAATGATTAGAGTATGAATGTAATATTATAACTTATTAGGTTAAAAAACTTATTTTATCTTTTTATGACTAAAATAATCCCAATTCAACTCAAACTTTCATGCCAAACATAGCTTTAATAATTACTAACATATTACCCTGGGCATATAAATAAATAATCAAAAATAAGTTTTTAAATTAAAATAATAATATAAAATTTATTTAAATTATGTAGCAAAAATGATTTATAATTAATTAAATTTTAATTTTTTTTTATCAAAATTACATATAAAAGGAAATTGTTATTCTGATGCCATTAATTATGAGTTCTAAATTATTAATAAAAAATAACATGTCATTATTTAATTGGTAAAAATTATATAATAAATTACAAAAATTATATTTAATATAAAATATAAATATATTTCGTTTTATAACTTTTGTAATTTTAATTTAGCTTATGATAGTATTAAATTATATTTGTTAATATACTATTTTTTTTTTCTTATTTTATAAAACTTAAAAATTTGTCTACTCAAAATTATAAATTGTCGCATGTCATAATTCTTACGTGAAATGGATTAGAATTGACTTGTGGTATTGGACTAAACATTAAAAGTGACCTATAAACTATTCGACTCAATATTTATGTTAATGTGACTTTTACCTAATCATTAAAAATTATTTTTATCGATTCACAACCGGTATGAACAAATTTGGAATTATAATATTAGATTAAATATTAAAAATTGGCCTAAAAAATCTAGTTCGAGTAGAGTTTTCTTTCAACAATTCTTGGTTTAAACTATACTATATCATATTTTAATAACTCAATATCATAAAAAAATAATCTTAAAATTTATGGTGCTTTTTATCAATCAATAATTTTTTTTTAATAAATTTTAAGAGAATTACATTTGAATAATTCCTAATATAAAATTTTTACTTAAAAAATTTAAGACCTATATATTTTGTTTGACTCTATAACTAATTTTTGATCTAGCAACTAAAATAAATTTCAATCATTATTATATGGAGATACAT